TTACTAGAATAATACAATAGAGTTAACTGTTTGTTTAATCAGGTGACAATCAGTTACAAAACAACTCAAAATAGCCTTTATAAACATGTTTAAACACGTCTTCTCCCCAAAATGGATCATTTTGGTTCTGCAATATTCTCCTTTTATAGAAACTTGTTTAAGTCAAATTCAAAACTACAAATTTCAAATACAAGTAGGCCTAAGTAAACATTTTGGATTTTGGTAATTAGTAAATTAGATTTTTTTTTTCCACTTATCAAGGCAAGCCCGAGCTGAGTGCTGCATGTGAATTTTATAAAATCACTCGAAAAATGTATAATGTTATGTTGTCACTTCTTCACACAAGAAAGCACATTAGGGTGAGTTCTATATGAATATTTTAAAATATATATATATATAACAGGTTAGAGCGTTTCATAGCATCAGACAGACAGGCGGTATGAACAATATTTTCTCCATAAAATAAACATACATATGCCCTCTTGTGGCAGAACTTCGGAGTGCATGTTGGTTCTGTGATATAAATTTCTATTATTGTTCAATTTGGACCAGATAACTGAAATATAAATGTACACGTGCTATGAGTTAGTGTTAACAACAACAATATTACAGTTATTACAGTTAAATGCTAGAAAGTACACGTATAACATTTTAGAGAACATGTTATCATGGAATTCATTATCTTTGTTGTTTAATTGTACAAATCTGTACATTTTTGAAGACAAAATCACTGGTAACCAATCGGCTTTAAATTTGAATAACTGGTTATGGAAAGGAAAAATAAAGTCCAGTGGCAAATGTTTTTAATATTACTTTACTTTTTACTTCTTTTTTTTTATTTTTTTTTTACAACAATTTTTTAAAGATGTTTATAATCAGTATTTAATGCTATGGTTCAGTCTGTCAGGACATATCTGACATGTTGTATTGTGTTTATCTACATATAATATGTTAACCTTGAAAATATGTACTTGACTAATGGAAAACATTTGTAGCAAAGCACAGGATCTGTCATGCTCATTTGAAGGTTTCACACAAGCACGTGAACACCCTTACATACTGCAGAAGACTTTTCTTACAGATCTGCAGATAATTCTTTCTCAGTCGCAAACCCACTTTTACAAAATATGTTTTTTTACATTATATGTAAAACAATCTTTCATATCTGTAATATATATTAGTGCTTTTTAACCAAGTTTATTTTGGGAAGTAGAAAAACATCTTCAAGGTGCTTTTATATCATTAAATAACATGTCCCCCCTCCCCTCACACACACACACACACACACACACTATCACTATCACTATCACTAACTGAAGTAAAAGGTATAATATGTTGTAGGAATGATAAGAATCTCACAGGAGTTAAGACACTGCACGTTCATCACGGGATCATAACCTCTTGGCTTCCTGTTTTCAGGCCTCATTAGAAAAGTCTGGAGGGGACCCTGCATGCCCACGAGCTGTATGGTTAACAAATGCCCCACTTCTCTTTTTCTTTTCTCTCACTCACCTGGGTGCACCTTTCCGCTCTTTGTTATGATAACCACACTCGGTTTGAGCTCCCACTGAAGTGTTGTGGTTCACATGTATTTGATAAGATCAATCACATCAGAAAAAACAGACCCTCTTTTGGAGGCAGCTTGTAACAGTAACATCACAGAGCCACTAATCACAGAGCTGATTTCCTTATTTTGCAGATGCAATGTTTTTTGAGATGCTTATCTAAACACTGGCCGGGCCATTCTTCTAACCTGTTTCCCTGTTTCTACCATTCCAAACACTGTCCTCTTTACCTTCTTTGTGATGCAAAGCTCCTTTAAATCACCGTCAATGCACTGCTGCAGGTTAATGAAGAGTAAACATAAAAAATACCTAATGATACACATGATTATAAACAGGAAACAGTCAGTTATTTGCTCATTCATGATTAAATACACACACAAAAAAAAGAAACAGAATTGGTCTCGTATGACATTTGAACCAGAATAACACTTTGAAACTTGTTTTATTTCCATGAATCACTCAGCATACGGCTATAAAAACCACGTATTGACCTCCCCTTTATGTAGGGAACGTTGTCTGCACTACATGTGGCGTAGAAATAGTGCACTACTTCCAAATCTGTGTTTAGAATATTACAGAGAGAGACTCTGGAAGTAGTGATCAAACCCTCCAACTCAAACCTTCAACTGTAATTAGTGGGCAACTTTGGTAAAGAAACTGATATTATGGCACACTATTCTGAAATTCCCTCACAGTGTTGGCATGTTTCTCTGGAGACTATTAAAGTGAGGCACATACTGTTTTTCAGCGCACTGTTTTGAAGCATACTAAAACCTCAATAAGCCATATATGCATAAAGCGAATGTATGTTAAAACTTAAAGTATCATTCTGCCAAGCTAGAGTTGTGCTTTTCTTCTGCTACAGTTACATACAGCGTCTCTTACAGCAAAGAATGCATGACGGACTATCTTAATTTTGAGTTGAAGCTTGTTAGTTCAGCAGTTTACATCCTATAGCTTATGTTCAAATAATCACTGTTTAATGTTAATCATGAGACTTTTTTCCCCACTGGCCTAGACATGATTTTACAGTGTATAGGATCTAAGCGATATAGGCCCACAGGCAAGATCAAACTGCATATCTTTGCTCTCAAACTGACTTTATCTTAAGCGAATGCAGAGCTAATTACTCTGTTTCTTTTCTTAATGTGTAAGGTTTCTAAAATATTGGAACAAAAGCCGCTGGCTCGTTCTGTGAGTATTGCTTGTACATACAACACACTTTTTTTTTCTGCTGCCATTTCGGTCTTTATCTTGATGTATTTTGTCCACCACCACCACCAGCACCAGCAGCAGCAGCAGCAGCAGCACAGCACATTTCTGACTCAGCTTACCCCACTAATTGATTTGACATGCTAGATCCAATATCCTTTTCATGATAGTCAAACTTTACTATGATAACTTTCTTTCCCCCCTCCATTCCTTCTTTTATGGAGGTATAATGTTTCCACATGATCTGTCTCTCCTTTTTTCTGCATGAAGTCTTATAGGAGAAATAAAAAATAATTCGGCCACATGCTGAGGGATACTGAAATGAAAGGGAGGGGGAAAAGGACACTTCTGCAATAAAGTTGGGTAAAGGTATTTCACCATTTTCATGGTTTTGCAAAAAAAAAAGTGTGACTTGAAAACTTTGTAATTCACATTCTTCAAAAGATTTTCTATTTATTTCTCTACATGATGTTCTGACGCTCCTGTTCTGATCCCTGTTATCTTAAGCCAATCATTTAAAAGTTTTAATACATGTAAATGATTGATTGCACACTCTGATGATGTATCATTGTGTCTATGGAGTGGATGACCATGCCTGTCAATACAAAACAGGTTGTTTGTAAGTTTCCAAACAGAGAAGGTCAGAAAGGTCCTATTCCTGTGGGGAAAAGCAAAAATGCATCGGTCTATTAAACACGCCTAATTATCATCATTATCACAACTCTACAAGCTCCATAGAAGTCAAATGATCCCTCATGTGCTTCTATGTGTTAATAATCTGCCATTTGCACGGCTATGTTACACTGCCGTGTGGCAACACCACATGTCCGTAGAGCAGCCATTGTTATATTTGCGCAACTTTTAGATGACGGTGAAGAGCTTGTGCGTGGGCTGTGAAGGGTTGCAACTCGTGGAAAAAAGAAAACAGATCCCCATCGCCGCGGAGAGAAGCCCCCCCACCTTCATGATCACCATACTTGTGCCTAGACTGTCAGCTGGATACAATCTTCTTCAAAATATCTCCAATGCACCGAAAGTGTGCCATCAATGTTTAAAAAGCATACAGTCAAATGTATTTTTTGAAGAAACAGCCGAGTATAAGGAAAACCAAGGAACCACAGTGTCAGACTATTTATGGATACATACACAGTGACACGCACCACACACGAGAAAGTTTTCTTTACTCAATCATTTACAGCGTAGGTGACACTGACACAGCATGAACCCAACGATGCACTATTTACTTCATATGATATTACAATATTAATTTACAATAATAATAACAATAGACACAATAACCTACTAATAATAATCGTCATCGTCATAATCATAGCCATGATGATAATCAGAATCACAAAAATACAATTGTGAACGTGCTTCAGTTTTGCTGCATTTAAACTTTTGCGCAGGAACACCTGAGAGTCTCTCCACAGTAATAATGCCAGCTCAGTAAACTAACATAAACATGCTCCCTGTTTTCTCTGCTTTTCACCTTTTCACCAACAATCTCGCTGTGTTGAATACCGATCAGTTTGTTTGGGCTTTCTTTGCATGTCGTCTATTTCATCACTTAAAACATTTCCAGTTATTTGTGGAGCCTTTAAAAAAAAAAAAAAATAAGACTGGCAAAAACAAAAGTTTTTAATCATTCATTATTAGGCTACGTTTGAATTATTAGCTGGAATCAATTTATTAAAGTAGGACGAACGAGAGGGAGTGTGTATTTGTGTGTGTTTACACCTGATATCTCATAGACCTAAATGCATTTATGATGTAAAGGCTAACAGCATATCAGACAACTTGTTTACACAAGTTCAAACTTTTTAATTATTTGTATCTCATAAAGCATGATCAACCTGCATTCTCCTCTTAAATGATGAAGTTCTGTTTAAAAGTAACTCTCATTTACAATCCCTTCAACCCTCGAAGCCTCTTCATTTATCAGAAAATTAAGAGTAAAATACTTTTTTCTGCAGAAAAGGGAAAACGCTCCTCAGTAAGTTACGCATGCAGGCGTGTAGGCCTGTCGGTGTTTGAATTGCTTTATTTATTAAAGTTTTAGAATCGCTGAAGTTTCTTGCGCGTTAGCAGAGGCGTTTGACACGACGAGCTGACCTCGTGAGGTCAACCCAGACTGAGTAGAGCTCGTGCTGTCCAATCACAGAGCTCCTCCGGACCCTGAACGTCCGGGTCTCTGACCAATCAGGAGGCTCAGTGCGGAGACAGAGGGGGACATCGAGCACAGATAAAGTGTTTGACTTCCATCCATCCTCCCAAAACATCCTCTCAGTCCTCACAGAAATGTTCGAACTTGTACTTTAATCTAACTCTCACCCCTGCGCGCACTGACCTCTGGATACACGTCAAGAACAGCTCTAAGGATCCATCCTGTTACTCAGAGGAAACACAGGCTGCATCGCGTCTGTTTTAAAAACAGACAAAAAGTATCTCGTGGGATTAAAAGGGACGAGAGAAGAGGGCAGCTGCGTTACAAACTGTTACCTGACAGAGGGTCAGGGATCATGACAGCGCTAGCAGGAGGTTTACCGAGAATGATGAGACCAACTCCTCACCAAAACTACCCCCGAGGAGGATACTCTCTGGAAGGTAAGAAAAAAAAAAAAACACCAGTTGCTGCGAGCAAGTCGGATAACACAACTGTTAGAACAGTGCAGAAAAGTAGACTGGAGTTCTAGAAAGGTTTAAACTTGCATACTATTATTATCAAGGAACGTATCAACCTATTCTTTTTACGTAATTTTACAAAACAACAGACAAATATTTGGGATCCAGTTACGCTTAATTGCAACATATTAATTTCGATGAGTATTTGTATTAAATGAATTGCAAAATGACACTACAGTAATAGCATTGTTCCAATGTTATCATTTGACTAAGTAGGGCTATTATAATTTTCTTGTTCCTTTTTTTTTTTTTTTAAAGCTATCACTGTCTAATGATTGGATGAAACGTTATCGACAATTATTTGGCTCTCTTGTGCACAAGAAAAACTATTCTAGCCTTATTATCTCTAGATTATAAATATTTTGAAAACTAGAATTTCGACTTATTTATCTAGACAACTTCAAAGTGCAGAGCAACCTTTGATTTCTAATATTTTGATGAACTTTTGATGTTAGAAAAGTTTTTTTTGTGTGTGTGTGGCAACTGTAACTGTTAATAACAACAACAGTGGACAAGACATTGCCTACAGTATAGTCTTGAAGCTCCTCTGTATTACACCTACTTATATGTCCCATGCCATTGCTGTCCAGTGTCCACTCCGTTAGGACAGGGTCGAGTCAACCAGCTCGGTGGCGTCTTCATAAACGGCAGACCTCTCCCCAACCACATCCGACATAAAATCGTGGAGATGGCGCATCACGGTGTCCGTCCGTGCGTCATCTCCCGCCAGCTGCGCGTGTCCCACGGCTGCGTGTCCAAAATCCTTTGCCGGTACCAGGAGACAGGCTCCATCAGGCCGGGGGCGATCGGAGGCAGCAAGCCAAAGGTGAGACGCTGATGTTTTTGAAGTTTTCTTCACCTAAATGTGGAAAAAAAAAACGAAACAAACGAAAACATATTTGTACGAAATTCTACAGAAAAGAGTCCCCTGGACATGTGATTTGAACTCAGTAACAGTGAGTTTTACAGTGTTGTAAAAACTCAAGTGAAAGAGGATAACTGTCACTGTTCTGGAAAAAACGGTTCAAAGCCAAAGAGACCTTTGAGATAAATTACAACTTTAGATTTGAACTTTTAAAGTAGACCTAAATTATCTTCCTAATAGCTGTGTAAAAACGTTTTGTTTAACACAGCCTTCCAAGTTATTCAATTAAAAAAAAATAAAAACAATTATGTCTCTCTGGTCTACAAGCCTGGGATCTAACAAAAATAATAATATTAATAATAATAATAATAATAATAATAATAATAATAATTATTATTATTATTATTATTATTATTATTATTATTATAATTATAAGTATAATAATAATAATAATGATAATAATAATAATATTAACCTTTTCTGTCCTTCCTAACACCACAGCAAACTTCGTCTCCAGAAGTGGACAAGAGAATCGAAGAGTACAAGAGAGAAAATCCGGGCATGTTCAGCTGGGAAATCAGGGACAAATTATTAAAAGATGGGATCTGCGACAGGAACAACGTTCCCTCAGGTGGGCGAAACTTTTACACTATGTATACACGCTTTGCTATTTTGTTTTAAGTGGCATACAGGACATATTTCCTTTTGGGTTTATCTTGTGTTTTTAATCTTATTTCTTTAAGTGAGCGCTATCAGTCGCATCATGCGCTCTAAATTCGGTGGAGTGGGTGATGATGATGAGGATGATGAAGAAGTGGTGAAAAGGGAGATGGAGGAGAGCGAACCACGGACAAAACACAGCATCGACGGGATTCTGGGAGACAGATGTAAGTTATCATTTTAGTCAATTCAATCTTCGCTTTGTGCTCTGCAAACCAAAAAAATTAGGGAAATCCTCAGTAACATTTCTTTTTTATTCTTATTATAATACATTCATTCATTGCTGTTATTATATAATACAAATAACAATGATAACAATAATAATAATACTATTACTAATAATAATAATACGATTTAAAATAATAATAATAATGATGCTATGATTCAATCGATTATATGAATCACAACTCATAGACTTTTGGCCTCGGAAAGGTAGAATAATTTAGGAAAACGCATGCGTTAAAGATTCTGACATTTAACAAATGTGCAGAGATTTTTCTTTAAGTGGATAAGCAAACATTTGTCTACCTTCCAAGCCTGAGAAACTTTGTTTTTACGCACAATCGGATACTTGAGGATGAACTTCAGCGGACAAAGCAGGGAGAGTCCATTGAAAATCACACCTCAGTTTGACGAGCACAAAAGCCAAACTCCGGTTAGCGGCTCAGTGGTGTACAAAAAGACGCCAGCGCCTTTCAAAACGGCCAAAGAAAGGGAGAAAAAAGTGCGCTGACAAAAGGCCGCGAGAAGACATTATGAACCCGCAATGAGCGATGAATTATTCAGGGACACCAATGGGCCCAGTGCGACCTGGTTTATAGACTGCTCAAAAAAGTGCCAATTTGCGGGTTTTACTCCCTAATGCTTACAGTTCACCATTCAGGGAACGGGGAGAAAAGGTGCAGAGTTTATTCAAACACCTGTTGATTTACGACCTGTTGGATTGTGAGCAGTGATACCATAAAAGCGAAAGTTGCTTATGGGGAAATAATGCAGCCTGTAGTTAATTATTGACTTCGAGAGACAGTGGAAGTGTTTTGAAAGAGTCATGACGCGCAGATTTATTCCTGTCATTCGTTGCAGAAGTTTTGGTTGTATTGTTTTTGGCCCAGTTTTAAAAGCTGATTTGTTCTTCATGAAATGTAGATTTTAAATGAACGTTTAATAAAATATTTAAGCATCTGGAGGGGGCTTCTGAATTTTGTTAATTGTGTTAAAATCAACTTGGGTCTTATGTAATCAAACTGTACTGTGCCGTTACTTTTACGCACGCAGCTTTTGTGCACAGTCTTTGCGCATGTGAGCGTGATGCCTCCAGCCAGTGAACGCAGGGAAACCCCTTCTCTTTCCCTTCTTCTCGCCACTAGATTAAATCCAAACCTTTTCTTTCTCCCCACTTTCATCTCTGACAAAAGTCCGCCCCTTTCCTTTCGCCCAGGGTGCACACATTCATGCGATATCTGTGGGCACTTCCCTCTTTTTCATCCAGGCCAAACCAGAACTTAAACTCATTTCTGCTAAAATAAAATAAAAAAACTAAAATGTACCTGTAGACCATAATTCACATTGTATAAATCAAACTTGAATTGATCAAAGTTTTTATGCAGATGATTTTTTTTAACTTCAGACTGAAGATCAAACTGTCAGAAAGCATTTCTATTTGTATTCAATAAAACACATTTATAGGATGATATTTAATTACACAAACATACACAAAAAAACAACACATAACATTAGCTTTTTTTTATTTTTTTACATGAAATAGGTGACATCCTATATGCAAACAGCTCTGAGGGAACTTTCCCCCATTGATATACAGGACAGCACTATTTCATTCTTGTGTCTCTTTGTGGAAGTAGTTGTTGTTTTTCTCTTTTATAGCTCTTCATTAGAATGTGAAAAGACTGCTTCGGGGACTGAGAGAGTGTCTTCTGGCCAAATATTGATTAAGTAGGTGTTTGCAGAGGCTATTGTTGTGCCAGAGAGAGGCCTGTTGCTCTCTGCCCCTTTCTCCTCTACCACTATTGTTGGCTTTCCTTAAGTGCTAAGATCAAAGCTGACTCATTTAGATTTATTTGTCTGGGAAAAGGGACTGCTAAGGTTTGTGGGATAAAGTAAACCAGGCAGCACTAGGTCTGCATGGCATTAGCAAGTGGCTGGAGCATTGTGGGAAAAGGATGTTCGTTGGGATGAAGTTGTTTACTTCTTGTTTTCCAGTGGTAGAATTTACGTAGAATTAAAGTGTGCAGAATTAAAGCAACATGCATGAACGAGCTGCAGCCTGAGATTTGTTTGAACGATTTTTATTTGGTTTATCACATTTGCACATAAAGCAGAAGAAGATCCAACAATATGTATCTCTAGAAATTAATTTTAATTGGATAAATCATGCCAAGAATATGTGTTTCTTTTCTGAGAGTGGCTCTGGATTAATTGATAGCATCCTTCTTTCTTTTTTATTAATGTTAGCACTTTAGCCTCATTTAACTAATTAAAGTAACCACAGTCATGAAAGAGGAGCAGCCACTCTTGCAAGATTCATTTATGGCCGTGGGGGTGAAGCGAGAGAAAGACGGAGAAGAAAAAGAAAAGCTCAGAAATACAAACAGTCAAAGGGATAACTTTTCTTTAAAGGGAGTCCTGCGGTGCCAAACTGAATGAGGCCAGTTCTTTCAAATGTGCCATGGTGAACGCAGTCAACATGTAATAATTGGTTTCATTGAGGTGCATTCCAACAATCTGCTGCCATTCTCCTGCCTCCATTGTCTGTGGGCAGGCAAATAGCCAGAGGGACAGGAGGAATCAAGTGCTGACAAAACATGAAAGATTTAGCTGCTTTTGTTAAAGGAGCTGAGTGGGACTTTGTTTGTGTAAATAAAGTGGGTTACTGGCTCCCTGTGACTTTGGCATGAGGGAAATTCAGAGAGTGAGCAGGGTAGATAAATCATATTTGTGTTTATGAGTTTGCCATGTTTTAAAGCAGTTAAAAAAAGATTTTAAAGTATTCTTTAGGCTCAATAGCTATCTAAGAGGAGATGATGACGGCAGCAAACTTCCACGAGCAGCATTCTAATCCAATTTTAAAGTTCAAAACCCTTATTCTCAAGAGAAATCTGAGAATAAAAATATTATTTCCCTCGCACACGAGCAGCGAGAGGAACTGAGCAGCATGTCGATGACCCACAGCTGCAAACTGAGAGGTAGATGTTGGATTTCTTGCATCTTTTGTTGCATTTTCACAGTGAATGAGTTAAAAATAAAAGAGGTTTGAAGGAGACGGAAGGTCTCAATTCAACCAGAGGAATGTCTGCTGTAGCCACATTTCCATTTTGCTCTCAGGGCTGGATAATGGACAAATTTATATGTGGGCCTCACTCCATGCTTCCCTGTGTTATTCCCTGTGTTAATAGTGTCTATAATGCTAGTTTGGTTTGGTGGGCTGCTGAGCATATGTAGACCAAAGTTCACTGAAAAATTCTGCAGATAATTAGATAGATAAATAGAAAGACTTTTCCAGAAAATACTCAACACTTTCTAAGTTCCATGGGCATGTCTCTAAAGTCTCCCTTATTCTCAAAAAAAGAAAGAAAAAATCCACACTGGCTGATCTGCAACTGAATGCCGACTCTATGCTTCATTAAAGCCTCTTTCTCTATTGGCACCCACATTGTGATCCCCCAATATTAATTCAAAGGACAATTAATGAATGCAGGCCAACTTTGAAGTAATAGGCCGGGGTCCTGCCCTGAGCCGGCCCCTCGCCGCTGATGTACTCTCCACATTCTCCCAGCTAACCCCAGAGACACTGTGAAGTGAGTGAAAGAGAAGCATCGAGCAATGGAAGGTCAAGGAGAGGAGCCCCGGCAGAAAAAGAACTCTCTATTTCCTTGGAAGTATTAGCCAAGCAAAACTCTGTGATGGGGAGGATAAAGGAGTGAGAGGAGAAAAGGGTCGGGGGCGAAGGGGCTCTGCAAAGAGGAGCACAATGGGATAGTTAATTGAGTAAAGCCAGACAGCGTTGTCAATCACTTAACTTTGTTTAGCCTCACTTTTTGTGGAGCTGTTTCGTCCAGCACATTGAACATTATGGACACGCCAGCACAACTCTGTTGCCTTTTTGATTAATGTCTTTTTTTGCCACTCTTTGAACAAAAAAAAAAATCTAAAAACAAAACATTTCAGATGTTTAATTTTTTTTAAGCATTTCAAGTAACATTATTTATTTCCTACTTTGTCCAAAAAAGGCGTTAAAAGCAAACTAAGACTTTTGTACACAGCAAATAAAACCTAAAGAAACACCTTAAATGTGTTTGGGTAAAAAATAAAAGTCCTTGAGGAATGTGATGATGGCTTCTCTCTCTGTCTGAGAGTCTGTGAAGTTTATTTGCAGGGTCAGTGGTGGGCTCGTCTTTTTTGCTGCTGCCCCTGTGCAGTAGCTGTGAAAAGGTCAGGGGCTAACCTGGGGTCACATGACTGTTAAAACTATCAGGCCCCAGGAAAAGAAGGTTACAATAATGTTTAGGAGAAGATGACATATGACTGACTCCCTAATTTCTCATCAGGGAGTCACTTCTGATTTAAACACCCTCACTTGAAGGTGCTATTTGCTGTCATTAGAAGAGAGTATGCTGGTTATTCTGAACTGGATGTTTGGTTTTGTTGTTTGGCCGTCACACTTTTTTTTCTTCTGCTGAGGTGTAACTCTGCTTGTTGCTCTGCATTTGGCTGGAACGTGCGGCAGACCGGCCTGTTGCTTCGTCCCTGCATGGGCTCTGTGCCGTTGCTTTGTGCATGCCCCAAGGGTGGAAATGCCACCGTGAAACTGTCACCTAACCGCACCACGGTGGAACTAAATAATAACCACCACACACTGGGCACCCATAATAGCCATGAAGGGCCATTTGTGCCTTTTTGTCACTCCACCAATATTGGACAGAGATACATCTTTCAAAGTCATATCGCAGGCTATTTCTTTGTCCGTTAAGTGCCTACCTCCTGTGCATATTCACTCCATTTTTGTCCGTCCATCCTATCATCATCTCCCTCTCTATTTCTCTCTCTCTGCCCCCCCCCTCTATTCTCAGGCAGCTGCAGGTTCCTGGGGGCTCTTTAGCAAGTCAAGTGAGCAGCCCACTCACTCCCATTTTTTCCCTTAACTGTTAACCCCAGCTGAGCCCATAAGCTGTCAGTTAACTATTCTTTTCCTCCGGTGCATCTGCTCGCCCTGGCTCTACATGGCGTGGCACTATTTTATTCAGTGGCCCCGGCTCACACTATGCACTGTGGCCTGAAAGGGCCCAGATCTACTTCCCTGGGCAAATAACTAGTTCATTTGTCTCTTCTGCCCTTTGTTTTCTGTTGCGAACACATGTCACCAGCTCAATTACTTTCTCTATTAACATCCCCTGGAGGAAGGGCTAGCCAACCCCTTGCAATACCAGGCTATAAACTGGCCCATATGCTCCACTTCTCTTTCTCTCTGAGGAGGCTCTTCATCCCTCACGCCACTTATTTTATTTTGTTTCACTTTCTGTTGCAGATATTTTTTCATATTGTAATGTATTCCGATTTTCCCCTGCACTTTTTGTTGCTCTTTCCAACTCATTCATTTGTTACTTTATTTCAAGCTACATGAATGGATTTGTATCCCAACGTGTACTCATACATGGCTATGTGCGCCTGTGCATGTCTCTTCATATTAACATCTTCTAGCGCGGATGGGAGGGGGATGAATGCTTGGCAAAGGCGAGCCCTGGCCGATGTAGACTATGCGGTAAACAAGAGCAGTCTTTCCTCTTGCAGTTTGAGATTCTTCTTGGGTATTTTTGGCCTGCAAGAGGCATTACTGCTGCAGGTGAAGCTAATGCAACTGGACATTCCCCAAGTTCACATCTGTGACCTGCTGGAGTTTATCTTCCCTGCCTGTCAGTCTCCTCTCTTGGTCGATTAATGGTTCTGTTTATCTTATCTGCACTGCTTTCTTTGTCCTGCATGTGTGTTTGTGTGTGTGCAAAATTGCACCTGTAAATGCACCGGTTTCTTTTTTATTTGAAAAACCTGTACAAAACCTGTTGAGTTCACTTGTTGAATACTCACTCTCCCTTAAACAGTGCTAAATTCTGGCCCCTAATTCTGATGTTAAATAAATCATCCCACATCCAATCTACTATCTAAGCTATCTTGTTATGAGTTTATTAACCTCCATCTTACTTTGTTTTGAAACATCTGCTTTATAGATGATCCTGCAGCAGCCCCAATTTCCGTTGGAGGGATAATAATCTATCTTTTTATTAAGACTCTTGTCAGAGCCGCAGCCAAACAGCAAGCGGCTATGGAGCATTTTCAGCTCCCTGGCGCTTTAGCTGCAGCGTAAAATTTGATTTGGGTGTTTAAGTGAGGAGGTCGAGGCCTTCCTTTGTGGGTTTTAGTATCCTCTTCTGCCGTTTGTTGCTGGGAATGTGTGGGAACAACGCTCTCTTGGGCAGTGGGGCCGCTTCTGCATCAGCGTGCCTTAAGATCGATCCAAAGCAGTGGTGTTAGAGCCTTTTTTTTTAAACGTCAAAGATGTGGATGCAGCAATGGATGAATGGAAGGGACAGGCTCTTTTTTTTTTAAGAATGAACAGCAACACCCCCGCACCCCTTCCCCAGCATCTTCTTCTTCAGGTGCCTTCAGCCCCATCTCCTCTCCATGTCAACCTCTTCAACTCCCCCACCCTCCCCCCTTAGCTTGGTGCCCCTCAGGCCATGGAGGGAGGGGATGAAGGGGTGCTCCCCTGCTGTGCCCCTCCACAGCCCCCAATGGCCCTTCTCTGGACCCCTTTTGTGCCCCCTCTCCATCCCCTTCCTCCCACCCTTCATTCCCCCACTCAGCCCCTGGCCCTACAGCCTCCCCCTCCTCCTCCAGCCCCCGCCTACTCCCCTGCTGGGCAGGTGACAGGCCCCTGAATGCAGGCCCGGGCGTCCCTGATGGCTCCTACAGATGGAGCGTGGTAATCGGCCCAATAGAGCCCTGCCACAGGCTTTTCCCTGCTCAGATACAAAGGCTTGGCCACATCACTTCCAAATAAAAAAAAGAGACAGAGAAGAGTGCGAGAGGAAGAGAGCAAAAGAGAAAGCGCGAGCCAGAGGATGACAAAAGCAACACTGTCATGTGCCATTAAGGGAGAGTCTGTGACGAAGTGTTTTCTAGTAACTAATAATAAAAACCGAGAGGCAGGAAAAAAGAGAGGGACAGACAGAAAGGAGCTAAAAAGAGGAGAGATCCACCCCCATCCTGCAGTTAACATGAGTTACAGTGCCAATTGGGACCTTTCTCCTCAGAGCATTTTATGAGCTCTTCTTCCCTCTCTCAGGAATCTCTTTTTGTTTCTGCGCTGTCATTGGTTCATCTTCTTTCTCTGTTCCTCAGTCACTAAAATGGTATTGATTACACTTGTAGTCTTCTCCAATGGTATTGTTTACATGCTGATTAATGAAAACTGCTTTTACTAAGTCCGAAAAATATAAAAAAGAAAGAGTATATTTAAAAGAAAGGAATCAGGTTTTATGTTCATGCTGTTTCCACTTTCTTATGCCCATCATATTAACATATTAACCCAACATTTCCTTCAACTTATCTCAGGCCTAATTTTTTACCAAAACAAACCGCTATCCAAAGTCACAGAGTTCTAGGAGTATTTAAGTATCCAGCCAATCCTATGTGCCCCTTTCAGCCAGTGTGACGCCCTTGGTTCAAATGTAATAAAGAGCTCTCCTTAGCATCAGAATCTTGTGTGCCAGTGGTCCCCAGTCCCCAGGCATTCCCAGGGAGCAAATCCGTGTGTAATGCCTGGTCAGACACACACTGGCAACGGCACAAACATTTCCTGCTTGGCTCCAGAGGCTCCAGAGGCAAAGGGAGATCCCTGCTTACCCCCCCTCCATTTCTGACTTGGCACTTTTTAATTAAAGCTTTAAATCTGTAGGGCAGAGTGAGCAGTCTGGAGAAAACAGACGAAGTCTTTCTGCTGCTTGCACACCTGTCTGCTGCTCATTTCTTTTCTCTCACTTTAGATGTTTGCTACATAGTCTGATTGTTGAAAAGGTGCAGTGAACCTTCCTCATGAGGCTGGGGATGGATTTGGGACTGAATTCCAACTCTTTCGGTCTTGGGTCCATCTGTGTTTGACACATTGTCATGGACTTGCCTTCATTGAGTAAAAGCCCATAGCCGAAATGCAGCAGATGCATGTTTGTGAGTGTGCATATGACTGAGAAATAGACGGTGGGGGGGGGGGGTTTCAGACGTGTAATGGTGCACAATGGCAGGCTGTCACGCTAGCTTGTGGAGCCTAATCATTATTTAATAGACGGGTAACCTCCCCCTGAAATGCAGCAATAGTCCTCTGTCTCTAGTCTCAAGCCTGCATTGATTCCCTTCTTCTGCTGAATTAGATCCCAATAGCTGTCTCCCAGTCGCTCTCTCCTGCCCTCAACTGAACAAACAGATTTAGAAGCACCTGCAAAAAAGGCACCAAGGGACCCTATGGCCATAGTGCACAGCATGGTTAAGACCAGGAGAGACACTGTGTCCCAGGGGATAGATGCCCTGGAGGGGTCTAGTCCTCTTTAATCTGTGTTCAAGCAGCTTCTGGCGTTTGAACTCCTTAGAAACTACTGAGGAGTTTAAGGGAAGCAGGAGGACACAATCTAAAGTTGCTCTGTACCATGTGTTGTACTCAGCAGGATCTAGTGTCTCAGCCCCGCCTATATATCCAGGAGTTTTTTTCATTTAAATCTGTATTAGACTTTCAGTTGTAGAGTGACACGTTTCATGTTTTTATTTTCTAGCAAGTCACTCGGATGAGGGCTCTGACGTGGATTCGGAGCCGGGCCTGCCTCTCAAGAGGAAGCAGCGTCGCAGTCGTACCACCTTCACGGCGGAGCAGCTGGAGGAGCTGGAGAGGGCCTTCGAGCGCACACATTACCCCGACATCTACACGCGGGAGGAGCTGGCTCAGCGAGCCAAGCTGACGGAAGCTCGGGTTCAGGTAAGAAACATCACGCACAGACACAATCCTCAAAATAAAAGCCCTGTAGAGCGAAGTAATGTGTCTGCTTGTCATGGAGTCGTGTCATGGGGGTGTTTAATTGCCCCGGGGATGTTGCCAAACATTCCTTACAGCCATTACACTTCATGTCATGTCTGCCCCATTCTTCACATACACAAACACAGACACACTGAGTCCACTGTGTTTGAAGATGGGTTCCTATTTTTGTCTTTTTGTCAGACTCGGCTAAAATAAGCCATGTAAAGATCCCTGAAAATATGCCAGATTAAGATAGTGTTCTAATATAGGCTTAGAGCTGAACCAGCCCTCTGGCTATACACTCTGAACCCAGTGACTTGCAGTAGCACACAAAGATGTAATGTTTCAGTGCCGCTCCAGATGTTAAGATCTCTATCAGTTTAGCTGCCTGTAATTGATTGGAGAGGCCTCAAACACACACACGCCATATATGAACAAGTCAACTTATTCTATTGGGTTAGCTGATGTATGTTCCCACTAAAGGCTTGTGTTTCCATTCTGTCGCTCAGGTGTGGTTCAGCAACAGAAGAGCCAGGTGGAGGAAGCAAGCAGGCGCCAGTCAGCTGATGGCGTTTAACCACCTCATCCCCGGTGGTTTCCCTCCATCAGCCATGTCAGGCCTGCAGCCCTACCAGCTGTCTGACAGTCCCTACACTCCTACTTCTATATCTCAAGGTGGGCTCACCCTCACATATGTCCAGACAGGAATACAGAATTTTGTACAACTTGTACAAACTGATGACAAAGTGCAATTTTTAAGTTCTCTGTGTTATCCTCAGCAGCATCCGAGCAGCCCAGTACAGTCCACAGACCTCAGCCCCTGCCCCCCACCTCCGTGCACCAAACTGGGCTCAGCTCGTCAGCCGGCTCGCAGGATGGAGGTTCAGCGTACTGCCTCTCCTCCGGACGTCACGGCTTCTCAGGCTACTCGGACAGCTTTGTGGCCACAACGGGACACACCAACACAGTCAACCCTGCCATCAGTAACAGCCTCTCACCTCAGGTTAGATCCTACTTCTAGATTCAATTTTTTTCGATATTCCCTTGACATAATTTGACATAAAAAGCAGCTCTAGACTATACTTTGTTCTTTTCTCTGGGTTATTTGGCAGGGTCAGATGCAGTATACATACAATAATGAGCACATGGTAACAGGGGTATGGAAAACTGGCAGAAACCTTGAACAGAACCAGACTCATCTGTGAACAGCCGTCTGCCACTAGTGTAAATTTAAAAAAACATCTGCATGTGTAGTTACAAAATAGACACTTCTGTCAATTCTGTCTCTAACGACACACTTACTGTCCACTGTCACATTATCATACCAGGAAACAGGGCACCATTAGTCCTTCGTGGTGTGTTTGAGAGGCACCATATGGAGTGATAATAATACACACAAACACATACGCACTCCTCCGCGCATGACCTTGGAGGTGTCATTGCAGTGACATTGATGAAGACCTTGTTAGGCCGAGAAACACGGTAGCTTTCCATTTTGTTTATTTTGATGAGTTGTTTGATGAATGTAGAAATGTGGCGGACGTCAGTCTTTGGGGAGGAGGAAAAGGGACCAGACATGAGGATGGATGTATGGATGTTGCATGATGACACAAATCAAAACTGAAAAGACAATTATGGTCGATTACACAGTCATCAGTGTCCATCAGTGGCTCCCCATCGGCCCAGAAGATGGACTAACAGGCGGAAAACAAGCTTTTAACCGCCACAAAGGGTGGCAGGCCCACGTGCAATGCATGCTGGGTACTAATTCCCATGAGAGAAAAATCTGAGACTCCTGTCAGGCACAGATAAAAAACGGCCTCAGGCAGGTTTGTAACTACTTGGATGCCTGAGGATATATAATAAATACTGAAAAAAGTAGATCTTTGTAGTTGTTCTCAGGCTGCACTGTGGGTAAGTGGTAGGTGGTCTTATTGTTGCTGAAGGTATAATTGACTTCTTTGAAGATGAGCTCTAAATGCAGGCAGGAATATTTTTTTTTCCTCCTCAGGAAATTGCCTGATTTAAAAAAAACAGTTTATTTTCGTAGAACAAATAAAGATAAAAAGAGAGAATGAAGATAGGCACACTATGAGTATATGCCATGATTGTTTTATCGTTAGACAACCAAACTAACTCTTAATTTGTACTTCACTTAATTACTTTGCTGGAGCGTAACTGCAGATCTGCCCCTCCTGCTACTGAGCGCATGACTGTCGTATGAGTTCACACAGCAACAGGGTCACAGGCTGACTTTACCTCCAATAAAGAGGCCAAAGGTGCCGTGCCCTCGTGCATGGTTTCAGCATTAACCTCATCAGGCCGCTCCGTACTGAACGCACATCTCATCTTGCGTAGGGATGGCAGCGGCGTGCCTGGAATGTTTTTTCAGTCTGGAATTGCAATCAGAGAATGTTCCAGTGTGTTAATTGATTGGAATGAAGTAATCTATCTCCTTATAACAAAGTGTGTAATATATGCAAATGACTCACTTTGTTGACTAATTTGTTTTAATTCATGTATTCATTGCGGCAGTTTGAATGTACATTGAGAAACAGTTTTCTCTTTTTCAGATGGGTACAGAATTAATTTTCTAATTTGAACTCCACTAAGACAGGGGAAATGAGAACTGATTAAATTCTATGACATTGATAGTTAATAAACCAAGACCCTCACTGCTCCTAGAAAACTTTACAGCTTCAATTTCCTCCAATAGATACATAGCTGGGTCTATTTTGTCCTAAATCCTCCCTGGAATTATCTGGTTATCTGAACTCCAGATCGGCCTATAAGAGCTACTCTATCTACTACTCTGTATCCAGCAAGAGATTCAGAGGTTCACTTAGCTCCAGATATGGTCACATTAGAGCGCCGCAGAGTTTGGATATGGATAAAGTTTACTTAAGATAGGTGATATTCTTGTCTGGGCAGTTAGCTCTGTAGTCAGAGCTTCAGTCATGGAGGTGATTTCCCTGTGGTGCGGGATCTGTGGCGTCTCACTGCTGATCTGGTGCATACCAAAGGAACCCTTTCTCACCAAGGAAGCGAGCGGCTGGGATTTGCACCCCCCCCGAGACCTAATCCCCGGAACAACCTCAAAACAGACACCATCGGGGACTGCTGCCGTTTCAACTGCAGACAGAGAAGACAGAGAATATAAACTTTGGGGGTTGTTGTGAGGAGATACGACTTAAAACAATGAAAAGAGATCTTAAACAAGCCGCGTGAAAACCTTATATTAGATTATAACCAATCCCAAATTTAGAGATTAACAAAAGTATTTGATTTACAGATACATATTATTATGAAGCTTAAACGGATGAGTTCATTGGACAAGAGCAACATGTATTTGTTGGTGAATGGATTTAGTATTTTCCAAACTTTATCATAAATATTAATAAAGGTTTTATAAGTGTCATACCACTTGTGCATCTCAAAGAATATCACACGTCCCTAGCAGTAAAATGATTTAGTGGTACACTACAATGATATGTTTGACAGATGTGTGCAGTTCCCTCTGACAGACTGTAAATTACATACATTAAAGACACTTGAGGTTGCTTGCTATCAGATGAGAAATCCTTGTTTTTACACCACACACACTTACTGTGTTCTGATTTTCCTTTTTTACAGGGTTATTTTTGTCTTTGTTTTTTTGTCTATATTTTCTTTATTGCATGGACTGTAACTCTTGTTCCCTCTTTAACTCCATTTTTTTGGGACATGTTCATGACTTTGCTTCTCACGCAAACCTGCGTGCAGCTGTTCATGATGTATCACCGATACCCCTTCTACCCCCTGACATCAGAGCAAAAAATGCTTATATTACACACTACCGCGCACACACCTACTGTTAAATACCCCCATCCACACAAAGGCGAGGTAGCCCTCACACACATACATAAACACACCCTGCTCTTCGTTCCCACGTACCCTTTGGCCTCTTCACCCTGGCCCCACAAGGACATGGTGATTTTAGGGCATCAGGAGAAAGTGAGAGAGGAAAAGGTAGACCATAAGAGAATGTGCATTGATCTGAAGAGGCACAATGAAACAGCAGACACTAATTTACTCAAATTCTTCTGAAACACATCAAATCCTCACAAATCTGTTGTATACATAGCTTTCTTTACCAATAATCATCATATCCAGTCTCATACTCTCACTCTTAGACTGGTTTCTAATTTTTATAGCAGGCTAGAAGCTTGTACTTGTCCAATAAAAAAATATAAATGAGAAACAAAATGTTCTCTTCATCCTTAAATTTGACAGGATAACTGTGTCAGCCAGCCCTGGTTCGCTAGAGTATTCGACTTCTGCAGACAGCATCAGCTCCTCAATCAGTCAAGCAGAGTAAAGGAAAACCACATGTGTAAAGGAAGACAGTAATAATGTATAACTGACAATGAACAAGGAGAGGGACCACACGGCAGCCCACCTGAGTGGAATAAAGGTTGAATGGCGTAACAGCAGATTTAGGTTAAAAAACAACGTTTTAAAGAGTGAATAAAACGGCTTTGTTTTTTGTTTTTTTGCTTTTAAAACTGTTTACTTTTTATGTGCTCCTATTGAGGTAGAAACACAAAATAACTTTTTTTAAAACCCACTTTCTTCTCATGTCTCCCCTCAGGTCATGGGCCTATTGAACCCAGGTGGAGTTCCACATCAGTCCCAGAGTGACTTCACCCTCTCCCCACTGACCGGAGGCCTGGAGCCTAACAGTGGCATGGCTACAAGTTGCCATGGTTCCCAGCGTCTAGAGGCTCTACAAGGCCTGACCAGTATGCCCACTCTGCCCAGCACCCAGTCTTACTGCCCACCCTCATACACTACCCCAGCCTACGCCGTGGACCACCATCCATCCTACCAATATGGACAGTACAGTCAGAGCAAGGTATGCTGGGAATACGCTGTTTATGTTACTGTTTTTTGGGGAAAAATAGACAGTATGGAATAAAATGAAGGCGTGTCAGCAAACTTTAACTTCTGTTTTTTAATTTTAATTTCCTATACGTGATTGGGTGTCTGCTTAGTTTACATTCTCTAACCTATATGTTAATTGCACAATCCCCTCTGATGAGCCTGCTACTCCAATCACCCGCGCAGTGCTGTAATTACATGAAGCTAGAGAGCTCTAGTGGCCAGGGAGTTTACATTACCATCATCATTGCTATCCACGTGTCCTGATTCAGGGGCCTGTCAGGGTCCTATCCCCACACACACATTTCCCTCACTGTCCTTTCACGACCCCGTATGATGAGCTCGCCCATCCAACCCGCAGTGCAGCTCACTTAGCCATGTAATGACCCCTGTGTAACATAGATAGCCGCCCAAATGAAAGGAAGGAGCCACTTCCCAAAACGTGTTTGACAGCAGGGAGGGGGGGAGCGCGGGTCATAGTGGTGTGTTGCTGGGGCTGATCTGAGGTACACTTCCACATGTTGACTGGCCCATCAGTGGCAACATCTTGATGTCATTAATTTAGCCCGTCCTGGGAGAGACTCGCATATAGCTTTTGGGGGTTTGGTGAAATGTGTGTGTGTGTCTATGTGTATATGTATGTGTGTGTAACTATGTATAAAAGAAGGGTAGGGGGCTCTTTAACAGGGGGTGATTATGGCCGTTGGCAGGCCAGGATTAGAACCATGTGTCCCACTGGAGGTCAGATTTAGAGTTGTTATTGATCAGTGGAGCAGAACCAGAGATCCAGGCTAAGGCTCTGTCTTAGACTTCTTTTGCCAACCACGTTGTGTTCAAAGAAAGTTTTCGGAGAATCCCAAATGTAATGTAATGTTTTTTTCAGGTTTATTTTCTAATCTGAGACCTCAGTATGCATCCTCACCTCATCTGGTCTTCAAACACCTTTTCTTTCTGTCACCTCTCATTTAACCTGAATAAAACGCAGATAATGCCTAACCCTTCTTCTTTCTTTCCCTGTTTTCCTCAGGTGCCTTTCATTATATGAAACCCCCAACATGCTCTAAACAGGAGGCATCCCAGACAGTCTGACATTCATCGCTAGAGAACAACCTCCCCCCAACGCTAACATGCTGCCTTTGCTGCCTCTCCCCAGCCCTGAGGACAGCAAAACACAGAGAGAGGGAGAGGGAGAGAGAGGAAGATAAAAAAAAAGTTGGATGGCTGAAGAGGTTGAGGTTTTCTTCTCCAGCAAGAGAACTAGTAGAGATGGAGGTGTAGCGATGGTGAAGTAGGGGGGGCGATGATGACTGGAATAATTGGGACCAAAGGCAGCAGCCTCTCCTGTTACCTGGCAATCTTTGCTTTGCTTTTTCGTCACATCATGCTCCAAGGACCAAGCACGATTCATTGTCCACGCTTAAAGAGGAAAAGAAGTGTGGTGGGGAGTAAATACATTCAAGATTCTGTCTTTGATTTTGGTTATAAGTGGCAGAGATGCAAGTTGAGGTGGACTTTGTAAGCCCCAATAAGCTTCTCTTCATCTCAATGTTTTAGGAGAAAATACGTACTGTACATTGATGTGACTTTTGTATCGGACATTGGCGATGAATATGTGACTACACCGAGATAACTTAGCAGAAAGGCATGAACCGAGGCGGAGTGGAGTCATAGTGAAACCACTGCAACCCCAAAGAAAGTGCAATACATTCATACCTCATGTGTTGTAAATTAACAACAAGGATCAAAACGCCCCTGATAATAACCCTGAAAAATATGCTCTCTCTTTTTAAATGTCATTTATTTGGGTTGTGCGCATCGACCAATCAGGGGAAATCATCAAGCAATGAAAACTAGTAAAGGTAGCTGTGATGTCATGAAGCCAAAAATTCTCTGCCGGTGAATACATTATTCAGTTTGACAGTTAATTTTGTTCTTTTCTTTTCTTGCATGTTTTAAATTAGTTTCCAGCAGGAACTTGCAAAACATGTGTTCCATTTCTTATTTATTTAGTCTTTAAGTGTTATGTGTCCTCTGTGCTCCAGTAAGTCTTACACTATGTTCAGTATACATGTTTCCTCTTTTGTATTGTTTTCATTTACATTGGCATAAAATGATTTTGTTGTAAGAAGTTTTGTGTACAATACAGCACTATTTACTATTTATAATAAACGGTTTAAAAATGCAGAAAACATTGCCTTGAGTGGGTGTCATTAATGGAAGCTTAAAAGGAAACAGTCTTCATTTAAAGTATGCTGTGATCATTTTGTTTTCCTATATATTTTATTTCTAATTTTAAAATGTAAAGAAGTACAGAAATAAACGAAAGGAAATAAAATGTAAACCAGGGCCGTAGCATCAACTGAGAAGACAGACATCTTTTATTTCAGGGTTAGGGTAATTATATCCAAAATAACTACTTGATTTGTCATTTTTTAATAGTTTATAAAATAATCACATCATTTGTTTTATACTAACCTAAATTTAGGCCAATAAATAAAGGTAGGTTAAATTAATTTCTGCAGCTATGGGCCTCCCAATCAAAACAATACACACACACACACACACACACAAAAAAAAACATGGTTTGATGATGTCATGAAGAAGCTTGGGCGAGTTGTTGTCTTCAAAGGTTGTTAAACAATCTTCATTACTGATTCAACCGTATCTTAGGGCAGAAATTGTGTTCAGGCATGAGGACATTTTTTAATATTCAAAAATGCAACAAAGAGACAGAAAGGTTTAGACATGTCGAATCATTTCATATTAATTAAACAAGTTAGCCAACAATGAACATTTGCTGTCTGACATCTGCTTATTGAATACTTCCACATTATTCCCCATTATTTCATACTCGTCACTGTACGTCACACAAGACATTTACACAACATTTACGTTTACAAATTGGATGAGGAATAAATAACACTGAACTGGAAACCAAATACATGATTAAAAATTAAAACGATGAGTTCTCAGCTATCTTTCTGATTTAGAGTCAGAATAGTTTATGGGAAGAGAGTGATGCCTTTGACAACTGTTGACCTCAACATTTCTTAGATATTCTCTATGACCCTTTGATTTATTTGTCAGTTAAACTAAAGATTTTTTTTTCCCCCCATCTCTTTTTTGTTCTTTTTTTCCCTTTCCATTTCAAACATGCCAGCTGTTTCCCCCCTTCCTCTCCAAACCACGATGATCAGGAGACTGACAATGCCCACGCTCAGTGAGCAGAATATCTCATGCTTGCTCCTGGAGCACTAAATTTTAAATATATCCCCTTTCATAAACAGTCCTTTTGGACAAATTCCTGCTCCCTGGGGGCTCCTTCACACCCCTTGATGACTAAAGCAGAGCTGCTGTAAATTATATAAGCACGGCGGCCCGCAGTCACACCAGGACATCAGTCACTGACATGGCGGTGCAGGGTTCAGAAAGGTTTGGGCTCTCGCTGCCAAACAGAAAGGAAAACAGTGTTCAGCCAGTTGGCAGACACCTCAAAAGGTTACAGATATCACAGGTGCTTTTCTTTTTATCGCTCCCTGTCGTCTTTTCATTTCTTTAAGAGGTTTAGAGATCAGGTATGCAGCTGCCCATGTCATTCATTGTGCCTGTTGAAAAAGAGTGTTTGTTTTTAACACCATTAAAACATTTCCTCTGTATGTGTGTTTGTGTGTTAGCTTGTTTGTTTGTCTCTTTCTGCGCTGTGTCTTAGATCAAGGCAAGATCAAATTTCACTATTTTCTTTGCTCTCCACAAACTTTTCTTTTTACAATTGCTCAACTTGTAAGACACAATGAGTGAAAAGCCAAAGGGGTTGCTTTGGAGTGGTGTGTCAGTCAAGCAGCAACACACTGGAGACAACTTAACCTCTGACCCCAACACTCTTTGAAATGAGTAGACTACTTGACCAAAGCTGACAACAATCCGAGTGTCTCTTCAGCTTCCAAGAACTCAAATTGAAAGTGAAGGAAGGACAACAAAGGGCAAAAGGCTGAGCTTTAAAAAAAAAAAAAAAAAAAAAGGTTTTGATAGGAAAAAAGAGTAGAAAGGGATCTTAAGAAAGTCTTCTTGAAAGAGTTTAATGGCTTTTTCTGATCAAAATGAAAAATCTCCTGTGTTCCAATCATTATAGGCTGTACTTTTACGACACTTTGGCTGCATTCAACAGGATACAAAAAGAACAGGGCTATATCTCTGGATACCTTATCAAGCCTCCAGAAGAGTGGGTGAATAACTCTCAGCATGCCTTTCCTAAAGTGGTGAGTGCCCACCTCTCACTCTCTCTTTGTCGCTTGTCCTGGTCCCTTTTCTCTGTCTACACTTTTGTATTAATAGTTTCTATCAAGAATGTTCACAGCGATTTTCCTGCTATGAAACATATGAACCGTACCCTCCTGTTTCCTCTCCTCTCCAGATGTCGGCAGCTCCTGGAGGACACTGCTATCGACATCAATGGAATGCAAATCAACGAGACATTTTCCAACGTCACAGAGAACCCTCTGTCCAGCACCAGCCCGGCGTCCAGCAGCATCTCCACTTCCAGGGGGAGCAGTGACAATGCTTACTTCTACATCCTGTTTGTCATGGTCTTCTACTGCTTCCTTGCCATGACACTTTTCAAGTGCTTAGGCAGCGACGAGGAGAAAAAAGACCCCTATGAGGAGTTCATGAGCACTGGGAAGCAGTCGACGCAGAAATTCAACACAGGCCACATGGAGGAGAAGTTTGACTTTGAAGAGGAGAGCAACTTTTGAGCAACAAGCTTTGTGAGGAGAAGGAGGGGAGGGTAACACATGGGGGGGATGTTTTGACAGTCGCCAAGCCAGAAAAACGTCAGAGCAGGTACTCAGGCAAGACCTGCTAGTGATTTAGCAAAAAACCTGTAGTAAGTTCATTTTTCTCCTTTTATCCACTTCCATCTGACAATCAGAAATCTCATGCAAGCAGGCAGGCAGACTGAAGGAGCCGACTGCCTCTAATGATCTGTGAGAGGAGTGGGAACACAGAGAAGTGTGGGTCAATGGCAGGCCGGAATCTCCTCCTGTGAGGCCCAATCAGGATCAATAACACCGGGCCTTCGACATGCATTCACACCGCAGGGAAGCAGGGATACCTCTGCAGACTGATGGTGTGGACAACATGGATACTGTGTGTGTGTGTGTGTGTGTGTGTGTGTGTGTGTGTGTGTGTGTGTGTGTGTGTGTGTGTGTGTGTGTGTGTGTGTGTGTTTGAGGGAGAGAGCTAGCATTGACCTGCCAATAGATTTTCCATTTTCTGTATTCAGAGTACTTCAACTGAACATATTGAACAAATTAGACATGGGTTGAACTTTATTTTACTGCATTAAAGATTAAAGTTTAAAGCCTTTTTATTAGACTTAGAATTTCAATGATACATTTATTATCGTTGTTTCTTTTCTGGACAATAAGTATGGTTTTAAGTAGTAGATCTCTCTGCAAAAATGTACTAACTGACATATGCTTCAAAATGTGAAAGCATGCAAACAATGTTTCCTCACAAAATAAAATGATCTTGCGCTCTCAAATTGGTTCTAATTAGGCAAAAAATCTCCATGCAACAGCAGGGCTGAGCAACATTCCTGTGCCATTACAATGTAACTGATCTTTGCAGACTCAACGTGCTGCAGCTACAAACCATTCAACCTCCCAGTGACCCCACATGATCTAAGTTTACAAAGCTGTGGCGAAACGTGAGCCTGAGACTCACTCTGCAGAATCAACTTCAATTGTGGGATTGTGGAGAGAGAACACACGATTCTGATTTGCACCACGCTTGGCTAGCAGCGTTATGTTTGCGGTGAACGGGAGGATGCTTCAGATTAGCAGCTGGACAGGTAGAGATAGTAAGACGCAGATTAAAATGCTGGAAAAAAAATCAATCACATTTTTTCATGCTTGGTTCTATGCAATTAAATCTACAGGGTCAAAGGTGGCCCTGGACTGACAATGCAGGTCTAATTTGAACTATCCGCTCCGAGAGGTTGTGCCGGTCCCCGAGGCCATGTGAACCTGTTTCCTCTTCTTCCCTCATAATTAGATTTTTGTCTCATCCTCCTCCCTTGAAGTGCTGGGTCAACACGTGTCCATACTAACAGCCAAACAACTCAGTCTTTATGTTCAGGGAGAGCTTGCCCAAATATTTATCTCCGACCAAGTCGTGTTAACCAATGGATTCAAGTTATTTTGTTAACTGGGTTTCCATTCTATCATACATGCGATTAATCTTTAAAAATAATCATGGGAAAAAATAAAAATATTATTGGTATTTTCATATGATTTCATTAAAAAGTCAATAAACTGAAAGGAATCTTGAAAAAAATGAGTAAAGTTTATTTTGAGCCTGAATGCTTTATTATAAACATTTTTCAAGCTGCAAATTAATTTTTCAACTCAAAAAGTTTTAATCTACCTCAAGAAATCTGCAATTTAGGGTCCCCGGTGGCTGATTGGTTAGGACGTGGGCCCAATGTACAGAGGCTGTAGTTTCAAAGTGGGCAGCATGGGTTCAGATCTGACTTGTTGCGCCTTCTCGTATATCATTCCTAACTCTTTCTCGTCAATTTCCAACCCTATCCATTGTCATGTTCATCAGATAAAAGGCATAAGAAGCCCAAATATAAATCTTTAAAAAATAAAATCTGTTTTTGTCACACATGTAGTCTGTATCTGGTCCATAGTCCACAATATAACTGTAGCTTGTAAGAATCTCTTAATGCACTATACATATTCCTGCTTATAGCAATTAAAATAATGTGTCCTCTGGCAATGTTGATGTTTAATGTGATGTTAAAAAAAAGCAACCCAAAAACAATTAGACCTGAACATAGCCTACGTCATTTAGGTGGGGTTTGGGGGGTCTTTGCAGCACCCTCTGCTCCTATCCTTCTCATGGCAGTTTGAGGGTGCCTTTTCCTCATGGAATATACTCAGGACCAACTTCATCTGACATGTTTAGCGCATCATTCAGCTGCAGGTAGAAGTCACACACTTGCGGGGCTGCAGCAATACAGAGATGATCCACTGGAGGGGTTGATGTTTCTCACCTTCAGAGTTTCAGATATCTATATGAGAAGCGTTTGAGCCTGGTTTACAGGCAGTGAAAACAGAGAAACCACATAAAGAAATATATCAAAAAAGCCT